TGGCTACTTTATATTTCTCTTTCAGAAAGCCATATTTGTTAAAATGAGCAGTTTTATCAGATGCCCTTCCTTTTCTCTGAGCCTTATGATTTTCTGTGTATATGATGGAGAGACCAAATACTTTCCTGTAGTCCCATAACTGAGGGGTTTTAATAAAATTTATAACATTTATAATAAATTTATAACATTAACTTTGAACTGAATATTGTTACCAATTCTTCTGTTGCTTTTGAGCCATGGGTTGTGCCTGAAATAAATTTAAATCTAAAATGATAGGAGAATAATCTTAAATTTATTTCTAATCATCTCTGTGGCCCAAGGCTTGTTATTTTTCTGTAGAATACAATCCAAAGGATGCCAAATTCCATCATTTTTGCGATGTTTTGTGTTGCCATATTCTGCCACTGGGGGACAGTATCGCCCATCAATTCATGGCCAGCACTAAGCCTTGCAGAGTTTGGTGAGAATTTTTGCGTCCATGTTCATCAAGGATATTGGTCTGTAATTCTCCTTTTTGATGGGGTCCTTGGCCGGATTTTGGGATATAGGTAATGGTGGCCTCATAAAACGAGTTTGGAAGTTTTCCTTGCCTTTCTATTTTTTGGAAGAGTTTCAGAAGAATAGGTATTAATTCTTCTTTAAATGTTTGATAGAATTCCCCTGGGAAGCCATCTGGCCCTGGGCTTTTGTTGGTTGGGAGATTTTTGATGACTGCTTCAATTTCCTTAGTGGTTAGAGGTCTGTTCGAGTTTTCCATTTCTTCCTGGTTCAGTTTTGGAAACCTTGCAGAGTTTGGATGTGTGGGATAGCGGAACAGGAGGGGGAGTTTGCAGAATGGATTTTACAGCAAAACCTTGGAAAACATTGCCAAAACCCTGGGTTCTGGTCTCTGTGACCTTGAGCAAGCCACTTCTCTTGCTAGATTTCCTTGCATAAAATGAGGGAGTTAAACCAGATTAACTCAAACTCATCTCTAATTCTAATTTTGTTGGCATCCAAATTCCTCTAAAAGCAAACTAGAAGAAAGGCCTTTGATGGCATTATGTGGAATTCTATTTTGCTTCTTTTCAACCAAGCTCATGTTTCTGGATGTACATGTTCAGTCACCTGTGCATAATTCTCTTTCTTTTCTTGGATAGTTTATTGTATTTCGTTATAAATTCATTCTTGCATATGGTATGCTTGTCACCTCAAAGAAAATTGGTTCACAGTCTGTGCTTGGTTCACATCTGAGGCAAAGAGAAATTCACTTTAACGTCCTTTATTCTCAGCATTAAGAAGCTAAGCTGCATATATTTGAACATTATAGCTATCCTTCTCTGAAAAGAAGACAGTTTCTTCTGGATTTGTGGTGAGTGCTAATGGGCTCATCATACACAAGCTGTACTACTATATTATATATAAATACTTTGCCCCCAAATAAACTTTCACCCATTTTTAGAAATGAAAAAAAAAATCCAAGCTTCAGGGAAGATAAGGTCTTGAAATCTGACAGTTTCCAGATAATGTCAGAATACGATTGCAAGAAAAATGACATGAAATGTACATTAATATAAATCTATAACTGCTCAACTTGATGAAAAATATCACCATAAAATTCTGTCATTGCTGAACCACCCAATATGTTTTTTCCATGACATTTTGTGAGGATGAATAAATTATCTGAGAATGTGTTTGCATCACAAATACAGAATTTTGTAATAAACACATAAATCATTCAAGCATTCTCCAGCAAGATGCCTGACCCTGAAGAAGGGGGTATTCATATTAATTTTGCCCCTTTGAGCTTCCTTCTTTGTGTGGTTCCTTAGAGCTCCGGGTGGTGATGAAGAACCATCAGTTAGGGAAGTGTAGGAAGAGCGGGTGTAAAGGGAATAACTCTTACTGGAGAAGTTTTCCATGCAACCGCCCCCTACTCCCTACAAGCCTCAATTCTGGGAGCTCTGCTTTCACTGATGTCCTGTATGCAGTCTACATGGGGGGGCTCCTTTTCAAAAGCAGTCATATTTTTGCAGCCATGGTCTCTGTATACTAGCCTACGTTTGCTGCAAAATTGAGAGCACTGACATAAATCTGAAAGATATGCCCTTGTTGTGCTTCCTTAGGAATTAGTTTGCTTTTCTATTATGGGCAATTAATATCACATAAAGAAGCATGATCCCCTGTTTGCTTAGACTACCAGAAAGCTGAGGAGGCGAGTCAGTAGTTTAATTTTAATAGAATGTAGTGATGTGTACCCGAGGATCCTGAATTTTATCTTTGCCTTAATGTTATAGTCTACCTAGATTTACCCTAGGATTTCATTTTTATTTTCTTCTATTTTACAGTGTAAGTTTTTGTTAACTACCCCAATATCTTTGTGAGCTCAGGCAAAGTATAGATAAACCTATGCATGGATAGTTGTGATCCTGTGATTTATAATAAGAAATATACGTTTGGTCCTAATCTCCAGGATTCTGGCACAGAGCTCGTAAATCCCTTGGAATTTCCTAAGTGATGAGAACTGTAAAGGTGTCTTTTCTTATGTTAAGGAGGTGACATTTGGACTGCACCTGAGGAGGGTTGTGGGGGGGTGGGGGAGCCCACTGTGACGGGAGAGTGGGACCTTCCTGTACCTCCCACACTCACCCCAGGCGGGGAGAGAAGCTTGAGAATGAGTCTACTTGCCAATGCCCAGTGATTTCATCAATTATACCAATGCAATGAAGCCGCCATAAAAAGCAAAAAGATCAGAGTTTGGAAACCTTTTGGGTCGGAGATAAAGGAGGCAAGGGGGGGCACACACCCTTTCCCACATACCTTATCTTGTGCATCTGTTCCGTCTGGCTCTCCCTGACTTATATCCCTTTATTATAAACTGTAATCTAGTGAGTAAAATGTTGCTCTCAGTTCTGTGAGCCTCTCTAGCAAATTAGTGGAACCTAAGAAGCGGGGGTTCACCTCCAATCTATCGCCGGTCTATCGGAAGCACAGGTGACAATCTGAGCTTTTGACTGGCATCTGAAGTGGGGACAGTCTTGCAGGACTGAGCCCTCAACTTGGAATCTGATGCTGCCTCTGGGTGGATAGTATCAGGATTGGGTTGAGTTGTAGACACGGCTGGTGCCCAAGGACCGCTTGGGGGTGTGGGGAGAAGTGCTCCCCCAACGTGCATGTTGGAACGGGGGTTAGAAGCGTCCAAACAGACCAACAGACATGTTGATATGTAGAATAATGGTCAAAGAAGCTTCTGCAATCAAAGAAGTGAAGTTGGATGTCTATGGTGAACCGTAAAAAAGGAAGGACTTGTGAGGTCCATTTCTTGTCTGCTCTCATTTCTCAACGAGTGCCTGTGAAGGTTCTAGAATGATGTGCAACATTTGTGTATCAAATGATTATGGTCTGATCTGGGATTCCTCAGTGCTTCTGGTCCCTTTCTCTCTCTCAAGAGGTGTGAAAATACTTTGTTTACATAATTCACCTGGTTTCTACGGACTAAAATACATGAGTTCATGGAGAAGAGCTCTGAATCAAGTGCATTGAAGGTACTGACATTTTAAGGACTAAAGAGGCACTGATTTGGAAGTTCCTATTTTGGGGGAGTTTTAGGGGTGGTATGGAAGGGAGACAGACGGGTCTGTCAGGCTGTGCAGGACTGAGAGGAAGAAGGACTTGAGAAAAGCTAGATTTTTCTGCCTCTGTGAATGCTCCTGAATTGAATAGTCATAAAAACCCTGCCCACTTCACAATTTGAAGAGGAGGAAAGTAAGACCCAGAAAGGTTAGGTGCCTCACTTAAGGTCACACAGCCAGGGAGGGGCAGAAGCTGTGTTTTGGCTATTCTGGTTGCTTCTTCCACCATGCTTCCTGTCGTGGGGATATTCTCTGTGCCCCAGGATGCCCCTCCATCCTTTACCATCTCCATCTGCCTCTCCATCCCTGGGGGACCAACCAGCATGGACCACATATTGACTGCCCTGTCCTCTGGTTTCTGGTTGGGTTTAGTCCCTGCAGGAGTTCAGAGGCAGGTTGGAGAGGGAAGTTGGTGGGTGTTTGTTCCTTTGGCTTCCCCTCCATGAAGCTCCCTGGTGCTGGTGGTGTCCCTCCCCTCAAGGTGGTGTGCTTTTGGTTTTCTGTAACTGTCCCCTCATCCCTTTGGGCTAGGGGTGGTGACAGCACAACTGCTCTTAGCCCCAGTTCCCACATCATCCCTACACCCGACACACCTCAGGAAATGGTTCCTTTGGTAAATAAGTTTCCTTAAGTCATCCTAATTTGGGTGCACCCTCTGTCTCCTCCTAGGACCCTAACTGTTACACCTTCCCATGAAAGAAAATGTGATGTTAATAATGTTATAGAATATAGCATTAGACCCATAAAGGATGAAGTTGATATGTTTCAAGTACTGGGAAGTGTAAGTCATTGCCATCTTTTCCAGTTGGACATTGTGGAGAGAAGATGGAGTATGGGGGAGATGATGAGAGGAGCTATAATGTGTATGATCCAATTAAATTGCTTTGGCTGTCCTCCATTTGTGCTTCCAGCACTCCTGAAATTGATTATTTCCTTTCAGCTTTCTACCTGTATCTTCATCTCTAAATTGAGTTGCTTTGCCTAAAGCTTTAAAAATCTGTTTTCATATGAATTAATCAACGTTTTAAAATTAGATTTCTATCTTGTGATTTTACTGGGGATATGCTTGGAGAAATAACTTAGTTATATATTTAATGCAACCCATATGTTTCAAAGCAATTCCTTTCTGAAATTGCACAGCTATGGAATATGAATTTTCACAATCAATTTCTTCATCGATAAGGCAAGGTGATAAAAAGGCTTAAGATGTACTTAGAATAGCCAAAACACAAAGTACTCCGAAAGTACTTATTTCATGAAGTATAGTCCAATAGATCGTCTTTTTTACAATAGTCTGTGACCACCAACAAAGATAACCTGTGACCACCAACAAAGTTCTTGGAAGCAAAGAAATACCCTTGCATTTCAAACTTTGTAACTTGACTTTACCTTTAACATGTTGGCTTCTGGAATCCTTGAAAATGGGTTTGTCCACCTGTGGAAGACAATGTGGCATCATCATCTCTTCAGTTGCGACTATGATACTGTCGAATATGTTGCCACTCTGTATGGTTACTCCCCAGGGTCAAGGCATAAGTCCCTGGACTCATCATTCTTAGAGAATCACCATATGTGTATAGTTGGCAGTCAGTCAATACATGTAAATAGGGGCGCCTGGGTGGCTCAGTTGGTTAAGCAACTGCCTTCGGCTCAGGTCATGATCCTGGAGTCCCGGGATCGAGTCCCGCATCGGGCTCCCCGCTTGGTGAGGGGCCTGCTTCTCCCTCTGATCCTCCCCCCCTCTCATGTACTCCTACTCTCTCATTCTCACTCTCTCAAAAATAAATAAATAAATCTTTAAAAAAAATACATGTAAATAAATGTAAATATGTGAAGCACCGTGCCAGCGACCAGTGTAGTGACCTCTGATGGTGTTTGGCATAAAAATACTCATGTTTGAGATCCAGTCCTGCCTCTTATTGCTGTGAAACTTTGGGAAGGCATTTGTCATATTATAAGCCTTAAATTTTTTAATCCTTTTAATAGGGAAATTAGTCAATTCAGATCCTTGAGTTATTACGAAGACCAATATACATGGTCAAGTATGTGATAGTGATCAAGCAGGCTGATGCGAGTGTGGCCATGTGTGGATGCCCGTTTGGGATTTCACCTTCATCACATGCCAGCTGTGAGAACATGGCAAGTCACTTAAACTTCTGAGCTTCAATTTCCTCATTTGTGAAATTAAGGTCACAAAAGTACTGATACGTCAAGAGGATGGGGTGATTACATAAGACACACTGTGCAAGGTGCCTAGAACAGAGAATGGCACCAATAAAGCTTGAGAGTTGTTAGCCTTCATTATTAATATTACTAAAGGCATTGGCCAACCATTAAGGGCTCTCCAAGGGCTAGGCAAGAGGGTAAGAAGAAAATGAAGATATCATAATGATGCCCAGGGCTTTTGAAAGCCTGTAAGCCTAGGTCAGCAGTGGGGTCTGTGATGGTTAATTTTATGTGTCCACTTGACAGGGCCACAGAATGTCCAGATAATTGGTTAAACATTATTTCTGGGTATGTCTGTGAAGGTGTTTCCAGATGAGATTGGCATTTGAGTCAGTAGACCGAGTGAGGCAGATTGGCCTCCCCAGTGTGGATGGGCATCAGTTAATTCGTTGGGGCCTGAATAGAATAAAAAAGGCAAAGGAAAGGAGAATTTGGTCTCTGTACGTGAGTGTTGAGCTGCGATATTGGTCTTTTCCTGCCCTAGACTGGAATTTACATCATTTGTTCTCTTGGTTCTCAGACCTTTTGGACTCAGACTAGAACTTCGGGCTAGTCTGTCTAGCTGTCTCTATGTCTCTATCTATCATCTATCTATTAATTATCTATCATCTATCATCTATCTATCATCTATCAATTATCTATCATCTATCTATCAATCATCTATCTATCATCTATCTATCAATTGTCTATCATCTATCATCTATCAATCATCTATCTATCAATTATCTATCTATCATCTATCATCTATCAATTATCTATCTATCTATCATCTATCCATCAATCATCTATCATCTATCTATCAATTAGCTATCTATCATCTATCTATCATCTATCATCTCTATCAATTATCTATCATCTACCTATCAATTATCTATCTATCATCTATCTATCAGTCATCTATCATCTATCTATCAATTATTTATCTATCATCTATCAATCATCTATCATCTATCATCTATCTATCTATCTATCTATCAACTATCTATCTATAATCTATCATCTATCATCTATCTATCTATCTCTCATCTATCATCTATCAATTATCTATCTATCTATCTATCATCTATCATCTATCTATCAATTATCTATCTATCTATCTATCTTCTATCTATCAGTCATCTATCTATATCATCTATCTCCTATGGTTCTAACCCTGACTAATACAGCTTGTAATGTCACTCTTTACTGGCATCAAGTTGAGGTAGACAAGGTGGATGGGAGGAGGGAGAAGGATCATTGAATCCCCTGTTACTCCTTATCCTGTGATGTTCAATGTCTAGTTCTCTTCCCCTGTGGAACACCGAACCATAGTACATGCCTGGAATGTGTGTGGCTCTTCTGCTGGTCTATCAGTCTAGCAAGAGTTGAGTGTCCTTTGGATGTTGTTATTGCTATGGCCTCCTTCAGAGCTTCCAGTTCCTTCAGGTTACTCTGTGGAGGCTGGGGTGCTGGATGGGTTTTTCAACATTCTGTTGCACCCTCAGCTTTCAGCCTTCTCTGTGTGCCTGCCTTATGGATGGGGTCTCTCAATGCTTGTGCTCACCTCCCACTGCTAGCCTGGTCACAGGAGCAGTAGAGGTTCTCTCTTTCTGTCTTAGGTAGGCCCTGTGTACTTAGAATCTCAGAGATGGGGCTTCCTCAGCATTCCTGCACTTTTCCCCTTTGGTGGCCAAATTAATTTGGTATCTTTGGACATTCGGATCCATTTGGCCCTTTTGTGTGTGAGAGCTTCTTTGCCCTGCACCTTCCCCAGCAGTAAGTGCCCTTGGATGGTGTTAGTGTAGGATCCCAGGGCTGGGAATATTTTCTGCCCCTTTCAAGGGGGCTGCTCCCATTTTCTGTCAGATAAATATTTATTCGTGCCTACTGTCAGCCTGTATCAATGCTAGATTATGAGGGAAAAAGAAGAATAAGAGCTTGGATTCTAAAGGGCTCAGACATGCACACAAGTCTGGGCTCACAACACATTATAACACATTGTAACACAGATTTCTCAACCTCAGCAGCATTAAGAGTTGGGGCTGGATAACTCCCCGCTGTGGGGGCTGCCCTGAGTATTGTAGTAAATCTGAGCAGCACCCCCGCCCTCCACCCTTAAATGTCAGCAGCACTACCCCCAGTCCTGACAACCAGCCTGTCTCTGCACATTGCCAACCATCCCTTAGGGGCAAAATGGTCCCTGATGAGGACCACTGATGAGAACCACCGATGACCGTGAAATGATATGTCAAAGACCGCTTTGCACTGCTTCTTCCAGAAGGCTTCTCAAAAGCCTCTAGCTGGGCTAAGTGATGCAGCTTCTGTGAAGCATGCTCACCTCTGTCTTAGCACTTCGCATTACATTGGAACTGCCGGTTTGGGCCACTGCCTCTTCCATTAGACTGTGGGCACTGGCTCATTTTTCATCCCCATTGTTGAGCACAGTGCTTGGCACATAGCAAGTGCTCAGTAAATGGAAAATGGGCAGAGGCTTAGTGGTTGAAGACAGCTGTAACCAACCTAAGGAGTCTAGGTTGGACCTGGCCTCTTGTCAGGATTAGTGAAGATGCCTTTCACAGCTGGTTGAGTCTCAGCAGAGATTACAGAGGATGCAGAACTAGTAAGAATTAACTCCTGAGAATGGGCTATAATGAAAAACAGAATCTGCTTCTCATAAAAATGTGATTGTTCAAACATTGGTCATAAGAGTAAAAATGCCTCCTTATCTGAATTGAGGCCAAGTCTTTACTTAATGAATAATCCAACCTCCCCTCACCTTGCCCCCTGGCCAAAATTGTGCTGAGTCTGCCATATTCTCTTTCTTACATGATTTCACTTGACTTGATATGCTGAGATAATAGTTCCACTTGCAAAGTGATCTAGATGAAGGAAGAAATCTGTATTGTAACAGAAAGCTACAAAGATATTATAAAGGAAATATAAATAATTAAGAGTGGAGGCTTAAATTCTGGTATAGTTGTTTTAAAAACTCCAATGAGAATTATCTTTAAAAAAATTTTTCTCGTAAAGGGATACTTACATGCAAAGGGGAATGAATCGGTGAGTTCTGGGGGAAAGGGAAGCTCCAGTTTTTAGGTGAACAGTCTCTATTCTTTAATAACCAGGCCAGAACTTGTAACTTCAGCCACTGGTCCAGTCGCTCTGCAATTCTTACTGTTTCCTGAACATGCTTTATGCTCCGGAGATGAGTGCCCTAAAGCATCTTCCTCCCTGTCCCACAAGCCCTGGGGTGTGTGTGTGGGGGGGTGCCCCAGTGGCAGATCTTGCTGACAGTAGCAAATATTCACCTGAGAACTTTGAAGACCAGGCTGAAAAAGGGTTCCATGTGGACAGAAGTCAGTCGAGCCTGGATCTCTTTTCCTATTAAACAGCTACTCACATTTCAAGATTCAGTTCAAATGATTGAGAGTTTATTTGTTTGTTCATTTTCCTCCATCTAACCAATATCTCCTGAGATCCTCTTACATAAAGGTACTGTGCTAAGTGCTGGGGCTAAAATGGTCCCTGTTCTCAAGGAGAGGTCCTCTATTGACCACTTCATGCTAGGCGCCGTGCTCTGTATGTATTATCATTAACAGTGATGAGATTTTATAGCTAAGATAATAAAGGCTCAGAGCGGGTAAGTAACTGGCTCAAAGAGCTCATAAAAGTTGGAGCTGTTGGGGCACCTGGGTGGCTCAGTCAGTTAAGCGTCTGCCTTCGGCTCAGGTCATGATCCCGAGGTCCTGGGATCAAGCCCCGCGTTGGGTTCCCTGCTCAGTGGGGAGCCTGCTTCTCCCTCTCCCTCTGCCTGCCACTCCCCCTGCTTGTGCTCCCCCCACCTTTCTCTCTCTGTCAAATAAATAAATAAAATCTAAAAAAAAATTGGATCTGTTAAAATGGGGATTATAACGCTCGTCTTGCAAGGATATTTTAAGGATTAAATTTTAAGGATTAAAGGATTAAATTAAATTAAGGATTAAATTCATTCATTCATTCATTCATTCATTCATTCCCGTCTCTACTCAGGAAGACCTTGCTTGACTTACTCTTACCCTGCTTTAATGATTTTTTTCGAAGTTTTTATCACTTAAAACTTAATATTTCTATTATTTGTTTATTTCCAGTCTCCTCCCACCAGTATGTAAGTTTTATGAGCACAGGGCCTTTGTTATTTACTAATGCATGTGGGAGCTTATCACTGTGTCTGGTCCATGGCAGGCACTAAACACATATTTCTTGAATGCATTTGTTGAATGAATGACGGAAGTTTAGCTTGGTGCCTGTGTAAAGCAGAAGTGTTCAATATTTCATCCCTCGTCCTGTTCTCCCAAACTCTCCTGGATGTATTCTGGGTAAATGACATTGCTCGGTAATATTGGTAGTTTCCTTTGCTTATCTATATTAACAGAAGCCCTCAAGTTAAATAGATAGACAATGTGAACAAATAATGCACAAGGAAGAATGTGCTATAAATATTTAAAAGCGTGCTCATGCTCACTAATAAATGTGGTACAGATTAAAAAAAAAGGACAGTGAAATCCCTTTAAAAATGTGATTAATAAAGTAATGGCCAGTTTTGGTGAGAGTCCTGTGAGGTGCACATTCTCATAGAGGGCTTCTGGGAAGGTAAATCGAAGCAATTTTTCAGGGAAGAAATTTCACAATTATGTACCAAAGCTTTTTAAAATGTTTTCACTCAATGGTTAAGTAAGTTAATTAAAAATCCCATAATGGGGTATGATATATCCATAAAGATTATGCCATTAATGCTTGTTTATCATGTGGGAAATCATTTTATAAGCAGAACTTAATAAGAAAAGAAAAAAAAACAGGTATATGTGACAACGGGACTCTCTTGCATGAAATATGTCTACACAGAGAATACGGACACAAAATGTCACATAGCATCATGCCTGGTAAACCCTGAATCTACAGGGGTGATTCATTTGTATTTCTGCATGAAGGAAATAAAAGCATTAGCAAAAGTGTTATTAAAAATGAAATTCTATATATATGTTTAGAGCATTTGTATTTACAGGATATTTTCATAGGTCTCTTGTAACATAGTGTCCAAACGGCCTTTTGAAGTAAAACCCGGCAGAGATTTTTAGTCCTGTTCTACAGATGGGGTTACAATGGGGCTCAGAGAGGTTGTTTGACTTACTTCTTACCACCCAGTTACCAGCTGCCAGCATTGGGCCTACAATTTGGGCAAAATGATATGTTATTATCAACCAGATCTGAGTCCAAATTCTTCTGGTCAAGGAGGCAAGCCTCAGGTGTGATGTTTGTGAAGAGTCTCCACCCTGACTCCTCACAGAAAACCTTCCCAAATGCTAGTTCTCTTCCCTTCTTGGTGCTCCTTCCCCAGGACCAAGGTGTCAGCAGTTATACAAGCCAGTTCCCCCGCCCCTCGCTGAACTCAACGTGCTCATCACCCTCAAGATGCCTTGGGACTGAGAGGTGGGGAAGCTCCCAGCTGCTAAGAATTACCCTGCCCATGTTTGGTTCACATGGCCAAATCTATACTCACTTTTTCCAGCCCCATCTGTGTGTGCCAGGGATGGCGCTCTGTGGGGACAGAGGTCTTGGTGTCTAAGGGATGGGGAGTGTCCATCACACCCTTGAAACAGCGTGTGTCTGTGAAAAGAGAAAAATTCAAAGTCTTACCTTAGGTGGACTCAGCACATTACAGTTTATAAGATATGTATATATACCAACTCATTGAATCTTCACAACGTAGGTATGAGGCAAGCAGCTGTACTTTGACTGGACAGATTAGGAGATGAAGCCCAAGCAGGAGGACGTGTATTCCTCCCAGTCCGTATGTGTAAATACCAGAGTCTGGACTTGAGAATCCTTCACTCTCTCAGCCCCGGAGACTCTTGCTCATCCTTCAAGCCTTGTGCTATGTCATGTTCTTTGCAAATCTTTCTAGATCCCACCCACCAACCCCCACCCCTGGTTCTTCTTCCTATATTGCACACCTACTATAGCCTGTCTCATTTATCTGTTGATCTTTCTGCATCTGCCACTGGATTGTGACCTTCCTGAGAATGGGGATCATGCTTTGTTTATCTTTGTGTTACTCGATCAGTCCTAACACCATAACTGCACACAGCAGACACTCAGTAATTGCTTGCTGAGTGAATGAACGGAGGTGTTTCATCATTATTTACAAGGTGATTCTTTCCAAAGAAACTTCTGTAGACTCGTCTCAGTGGGTCAGGTCCTCAGAAATCACAAGTGCTTCCCCCTCTTTTCCCTTACAGCCCTGTTCTGTATCTACAATTCAGAGAACTTGCTGAGGCTGCCCCGTGTGCCCCAGTTGGAAAGAGGCAGGGTGGATGTGAAATTATATCTTCCCTACTCTTAAGAAGCTTGGCTTTGCTGCCATGTCCTGGGGCTACATATATGCTGGCTACCTATAAAACAAGTCAGCCAAGTTGAAAATTCTTCCCTTTCATGCTACTCTCCATTATGCAAACTCTGTCTTAAGTTTCCCATGCTGCCCACAGCCCTGCCTGTCCACCCTCTGCCATGCTCACCAGTTGTTCCTAGGACTCAGGAAGAACATCCTGATAGTAACAACCTGTAGTCATAGAGCTCTGACACTGTGCCAAGTCCCCTGGTGAGAACTTGAAAGAACTCTCAGAGGGTAATTTCTGTTATTATGAACACCATTTTCAGGTAGAGAAAATGAATTTTTTAGGCTTGCTTAAGTAGTAAGCCATGGAGGCAGGAGTTTAGCCTAGAGTTGTTTAATTCAGAATCTGTGGCTTTAATTGCTGTGCAGTATTGCATCGTGGATGTGCATTCCCAGATTTTAGACCCCAGATGTTACCTGCATATTCTGATTCCTTTATAGGCCTGGCTGGTAATATTTGTATCGATTTCCACGCCTCTACCACATGAAGCTCAGGGTCTTCGTAGTCACCATCCCTGTAGTCTTTTGCTCCATCCAGAGCTGCCACAGCAAAGTTCCTTTCCTAAGCAGGAGGGAGTGGTTGAGTGAGTCAAGGGAAGGTACAGTCATAACAAAAGTGCTCGCTAGGGGAGTGGTATAGATTCTCTTAGCTGGAAACATTTAAGAATCTGGGATCTGTGCAGTTAAATTCTTGTGGTAGGCAGAATCCTAAAGATGTCCTCAAATATTCCCATTCTTGGTTATTCGATCAAAGAATAATCTGGGTGCTGCTATGAAGGGACATTGAGGATGTACTTAAGATTACTCATCAGCTGTCCTTAAAATAGGGATATTATCCTGGATCACCTGAGTGGTCCAATGTAATCACATGAGCCTTTCAAAGCAGAAAGGAGATCTATTTGCAGATGATGGGATCTTGAATGTAGAACATTCCAAGGAACCCACTAAAAAATTACTAGAACTAATAAACATTTCAGCAAGGTGTCAGGATATATGGTCAATACACAAATTTCAGTTGTATTTCTATATACCAGTAATGAGCTCCAAGTCTGAACACTGGGGATGGCGGGATTGGGTACCACTCAGTAAGAGATGTAATCATCATCACAGAAATTCTGGAATCTGCACCTATGTGTTAGGATTTGGATTCAGCATGTGCTGTGTTTCAGCCCAGATACTAATCTCAGTGGTCTTTCATACAGAAAGATCCCTTGTCTCTCTTAAAGTTTCTTCTAAGACTCCAAATGGCCATGGCTATGAATAACAAGTCCAGTTACAAGAGATTTTCAAGCACATCCCCCAGTTTGGCCATCATGATTAAGAACTTATATCTTTCTTTTACAAATATAGAACCTGGGAATGGTGACTTCTGAAAGCCACACAGGCCATAGGTGCCATCAATGGGCAGAACCAGGTGTTCTGCCACATCCACACTAGAATCCAGCGCCAGGTATTAAAATTGTTCTGAACCTAAGATGAAGAGCGAAGAGTCTAGGGTATTTCTTGTGTTGCAACATCCATAATTTTGACTTCTAACCAGAGAATGCAATGGCAAACTGTGTGAGCCTGGCCTCAGAGCCTGAGTTTTTAAGCTCCTTTGTTATTCTGCAGAGAGCATTTCACTTCTTCCCAGCCAATCCTAGTCACACTATGGGAATTGGACAGCCCACTAACTCTTTCTTTGGACTCCCAATTATTTTATAGTCAAAGACTGAAGACTTAAAGTCAAAGTTACTGCATTATAGCCTTAACTATATGTTTTTTTTCCCATAGTAGATTCTTCGTATATGCTTGTTAAATAAGCAAGTACATAAAATAATAGATTTTAACTAGATTTACAGTGTAATGATGAGTGTGATTTAAAATTTTTCATTTGTACTGTAATTTCTTCAGTTAGACATATCTTTATTGGAGGCCACTTCAAATTTATTTTTGAGTTAGATGATATACACATGCACTAATACAATCACCCAGAATTAAAGTGATGTTGGCAACCAAAAGTTAAATGAGACAATGCATGTAAAATTTTGAGCAAAATGGCTGATGGTCGGCACTCAATAAATAGTAGCTATAAATATTACTGTGGCAGCTATACTAAAGACAATTGCAGAAATTCAGAGATAAAGCAAGGTCACCGATCCTCCTCTTAAAGCCCCTCTAACGTTTGTTAAAGACTTTATATGTGCTAGATGCTTTATGTACTTTATTTCATTGTATAAACACAACAATCTAGGAGGTGGTTTTATTATAGTGGAGGGACTTGGAATTAGAGGCTTGTGTTTAATTTTCAGCTCCCCATGATTCCAGTTCTCTAGTGTATGTGAGCAAGTTGCTTACCAGCCCCAAGCATCCAGGTGTATGACTTTTTCCATCACTGCTCTGTCAAAGCCGTTTGGTACAAGTAAAGACACCATCCATAATGGGCCTGATTTCCAGGCCAACACCAGTGCCATGGGGACTCACCAGCCCATCTGGAAGGCCTTTTAGGCTTTCCTTGGGCTCTAAGTAACTCTGCTCATTTGATGCAAGAGTAAGTCAGTGTTCTCCCTGGGACAGCATAAAGGAGGTGGGCTCCCTGAAGACTACAAGTTTGGCTTTCAGTGTGCTGCCCCTGATTCCTACCTGAGCGCTCCTAAAGGAAAGCGAGGCTCGAGTCCTATAAGAACTGAGGGCTCAGGCAAGTTATGACATTATAAAATTCTAGGGGCTCAAGTCTAAGAGAACAGGGACCAACCCAGTGACCCAGCAGTAGGAACAGAATAGAAAGGGAGAGCTTGATGACCCAAAGGAAAGAGGTTAGGTCCCTGAACACAGAGTTGGAGTGGGATCTTTGGAAGTGTTGCATGGATACTGTGCCCCTAACAGCCAGGCATTGTGGCTATGAAACCCTGCCTTCTTGGTCTGGTCTTAGGAGTCAAGCAGGGCTCAGACAGGAGTTCTTGGGTGGGAAACCAGGTAGGATCAGTCTGCTTGGGGGCAGCATGGACTCAGGATGGAGTCACCCACTGCTAGATCTAAACTGTGGGTCTACTTTATGACCTTGGGGAGGTTACTTAACCCCTCTGACTCACATGCTCAGTCTGTAAATTGGGGATGGTTAAATCTGCTTTATTTGGTTGTAGTCAGAGATTAAGTGCTGTCCATAAAGGTTCTACTTTGACACCTGCCCATGACAGGAGCTCAGGACATGGTAGATCCCTTCTCTCTAGTTAATGTACTGAGTTTTGGTAGAGCTGAGTGCCCAGAGCAAAGCAAGGCTACCAGGAGGGGAACTCCAGGGGTTTTCATAATTGACCTGGCAAAGGGGGGGAAGGTGGTCAGGCTGTTCTCCACCAGAACTGCACAAAGAAGTAAGTTCTGACCTGGAGCAACTCCTTTTGGGATTTGACAGACGGATATTTGTTGCATGAGTATCATTAACGTACTATTATGGCAACTACCAAGACTCCGCAGAGCACAATCTCTTTGGGAAATCTTGGACCTGCTAGAAGAATCTGAGACAGAGCCCATCTTTAGTCTGGTCCCCTTGCTAGACTTTGTGGGGTCAGGACACAGAGGGACACCAGGAGGGACAGCAACCAACCACCCCAGGTCTGTAGAGAATCTACACACCAGACCCTGAGAATCTTGCCCCCAGGACCAAATATAAATATTTTGGCTTATCTCTTTCCAGAATGAGAAGGAGACAGAATTTTATTTTGAATATAACGAGGTACCTTTATTTATCTAATAATCTATTACCTACCTACTATCAATAGCAGGGATTCTTAACTAAAAACTCAGTATTTTCTGTCCATAAGTCTCCTACTTTATAAAATATTTTGTGATTGATTGATTGATTTGTTGATTGATTGATTAAGTGTGTGTGTCCTAGGGTGAGGATCCATAGCTTTAGTTTGATTCTTAAAGAAGTCTTTCAAACAATAAAGAACCAGTGATTTTACAGGCAGATTCTCTCTCTCCCTCTCATCTACCTATTCTATATATCATCTATAGACGTGCTAGTTAAAACTATTTAAATTATGTACAATTTAACAATAAACTTATAACATTAGGTAGCTGAGTTCATGTTATAAATTTCACATTTTCTTTAGTCATTAAAATTCTGGTCAGTACTCTTAATGGCTTCATCATATGAATACATCATAATCTAATCAATGTTTTTTTCTCTTATTGAATATCTAGAATGATTCCAGTGTTTCTGTTTAACTGTATTTTTATAAAATATAAATGAGTATGTTTACATATTAATCCAAATTTCAGATTAGTTTCTTAGTTTAAATTCCCAACCATAGGATTATTGGGCCAAAGAAAGTGGACATTTTTAGGTTGATTGGTTATTATGAAACGGCTTTCCGGAAAGTTAGTTCCAATTTAATATTTCACCATGAGCCTTAGGAAGTGCTTTTCTCATCACACCCTTGCCAGCACCATGTGGTGACATTTTCATCTTATTTCATCTTCGCAGTGGCCATGTGAGTTAATTTTTATCTGCATTTCATAGCTGAGGAATTGGAAGGCAGTTTTTTTTTTTTTGCCTCTCTGTCTATTAATGCCTTCTTATCCACTTATTTTTTCCAATTTAATTGAGAAATAATTGAGATACATCACTGTGTACGTTTAAGGTGCACAGTGTGATGGTTTGATTTACAATGTATATTGTGGGAAGACAGTTTATACCCAAGAACTGAAATGCAGGTTTCTCTGCTAGGAAATCATGCCATTTGGAAAAGTTTGTTGTTGTTGTTGTTGTTTTCTTTAAATTCACCAAGTACCTTGGGCGCCTGGGTGGCTCAGTTGGTTAAGCGACTGCCTTCGGCTCAGGTCATGATCCTGGAGTCCTTGGATCGAGTCCCGCATCGGGCTCCCTGCTCAGCAGGGAGTCTGCTTCTCCCTCTGACCCTCTTCCCTCTCGTGCTCTCTAGCTCTCATTCTCTCTCTCTCAAATAAATAACTAAAATCTTTAAAAAAAAAATAAAAAAAAAATAAATTCACCAAGTACCTTGAAAAGAGCCACTCACTTTGTAATGTCAAAACAGACCAGTAGGGAAAGGAAGCGGCTGACTTACACATTCGAGAAGAGGCTCGTCGATAGCCTGGTACTGGCCTGCCAACAGAAGTAGACAAAATGTTACTGCGAAACGTGGAGAAGTGTGGGGGCGCCTAGGTGGTACAGCCGGTTAGGTCACTGATTCTTGGTTTCCACTCAGGTTGTGATCTCAGAGGTTGTGGGATCAAGCCCTGTGTCCAGCCCCGCATTCTGCACAGAGTCTGCTTCGGATTCTCCCTCCCTCTGCTCCCTCTGGCTCATGTTCTCTCTCGCTCTCTAAAATAAATAAATAAATCTTAAAAAAAAAAAAAAACACTTTGAAAAGAGTGGCCCTTGTGTTTCTCTGGAAATTTTGTGCTCATTGCCATTAATTTCTCTTGATGGCGATTGCCTAAAATGCAGTATGTATGTCTGTACCTCTCCTTCTATCTGCTGTTCTTGCAAAGCAGGGTGATGAAAAAGGAGGCTAGACAATTAAATCCAAACTAGGAAGGCTCGCTTCTTCTATGGAGGGTCAGCATCAGGTTAGAAGGACACGCCTCCCCCTTCCCCCACCCCCCAGAAACACCCAGTCATGACTCTGAGGGCATCTGGGCCCGTGAAGAGGTTTCCTTGCCCCTCCCCCACCCTCTGGCCCACACATTGCATTTGCTGTAATCTGCCACATGTCCATCTCCTGGAACACATTGGAAGTATTTCACGGGCAGGGGCGGATAGGTCTACTCACTCATCTGTCCCCAGCTCCAGGCACAGGGCCCAACATTGAACACATGAATTCTTTTTTTTTTTTTTTAAGATTTTATTTATTTGAGAGAGAGAGAAAGAGAGAGATCAGGAGGGGAGCAGAGGAAGAGAGAGTCAAGCAGACTCCATGCTGAGCACAGAGCCCAAAATCGGGCTGATCCCAGGACCCAGAGATCAGGACCCCAGCCGAAATCAAGAGTCAGACACTTAACCTAGCTGCCCCCTGAACAAACGAGTTCTTGACAGGTGTTTGTTGAGTAAGTATTATTCATGTGAGTTCTGCCAATGCTTGACTTGGACTTGCTTTATGGAAGATTGCCTGGAGGTCGTCTCGTGCACTCGATCAATGCTCTGCTTTAAACTTTACCCTCAGATGATGCAGAACCACCAAAGAACTGCTCACATGATCTGCAGGGTTTTTTGCTTCCTCTAGACTTAATTTTCCTAAATTGCATTATAGTGTCATGCTGTTAGTCTACATTGAGAAACACCAGAAGCAGAAAATGTTCTTATCACATCCTCTTTATTAGCACATATGTGAGAAGTTTCAAGCGGGTCTCAGGAGCTGCATGCTTCTCAACGATTAGTTTGCTTTGATTTAATGGAAAATACCAATTTTATAAGAGATTGCATTTTCCTTCCTCCTTTGGCTGTTAAGAATCTCAGGGCAAATTTCTGGCCTGCGTCCAAGTCACGCAGAAGGCCACAGGATGATATGCATTTTTACATCTTGCTCTGGCTTCATGTTCTTAGACTTTTGCCCCTCCACCCCGAATTCTCTTACCATACCAAAATATGCAATTAATAGCTGGGGATTTGTATTAGCATGCCCAAGCCTTGTATAGAGTGTAAAGTGTAAATTAATGAATTTGGCTCAGTGGAAACACAGCTCTCTGGAATTTGCTTAGGACCAGTGCATCAGGGAAGTGTTAACTAGCCAAAGCTAATTTCCTTGAGATAATGAGTAGGCAGGAGCAGGAGTCTGTCTGCACCTGCCGCCGGGTCCTAGCCTATCCCGGTGGTAGGACTTGCAGCTACCACTGTCCTGGGGCACCAATGACACCTTTCTGACCCAACACAATTACACCCCTACCTAGAGCCGTGGTGGAGAAACCCACAGGTTTTCCAGCCTTTCACAGTAACAATCTGTACTCTCTCTTGAATTGAGTTAAATTAATAAGGTCACCCTTAAGGACCAGCTGGCCTGGAAGGAACAAATGAGCACTGAAATTTTGGGGATCTGCTCTGGCCCACAGGATCTAGGAAAACAGCTCCACTGTCTGATTCAGAGTTTGATACAACTTCATTTGAGGAAATTGGCCTCATCGAATGTGGTCATTATACCGACATCCCCACAGAGAGCTATGGGGTCTCTTCCTTCACGAGCTTGCAGCCTGAGACTCTCCTGGATCCCCCAAATATGTTTCCTGCCACTTCTGAGTCTTTGCTTGGGTTTTTTCCACCTGGAGGCCCCACCTCCTCTGTGTTGCTTTCCACAAGGCTCGGTGCCCTTTGGGATCCTCCTGGGGCTTCCCTTTCTGACCACGCTAGGTGACTTTAATGTCACGGAATTGTCAGGACAGTTACCTTCTGTCTCACTCACTGACACCTAAATAAAAATAGGCAGCATGTACTCGCCCCCCCCCCTTTTAAAAAAGATTTTATTTATTTATTTATTTATTTAGCACCTGAGCTGGGGCAGGGGCAGAGGGAGAGAGAGAGAGTCTCAAGCAGACTCTGCACTAAACATGGAGTCTGACATGGGGCTCGATCTCACGACCCCAAGATCATGACCTGAGCCCAAATCAAGAGTCGGACGCTCAACCACCTGGGCCACGCAGGCTTCCCTGTACTTGGCTCTTCTTTAGGGAAGGAGTTGTCTTTATCTGCTGCAGTACCTATGTTACTAGCAATGCAGTTTAGAAATGTAATTTTAATAAAAGCGTAGTTTGAAAACTGTAAATCATTTCATGTCACTCATGGTCCATGGAATGCCCCATGGAATGCCCCATGGAATCCAGATTCTCTGCCATGGCCCCCAGCCCCCAGCACAGGCTGGTTCCTGCCCCTTCTCTGATCACATCTCTTTCTAGTTTCTTCCTCGCCTCTGAAATTAGCTACATCAGCTTCTTTTCAAGTCTCTCCAGTATGCCAAGCTCCTTCCACCGCAGAGATCTGCACGCACTGGGCCGCAGTCCAGAACATTCTTTCCTCGGCTCTGCCTATGTCTGGGTCCTTTTCATCCATCAGACCATGTCTTAAATGTCATCTTCCCAGGAGGACCCTCCCTGACCACCAGTCTTAGGTAAAAATGAAGGAGCACCTCTCCAGCCCCGGTCCTCACTACCTCAGGCACCTCACACAGCTTTGAGGATGCTGTGAGGATGTGCACTGAGCCCCATTTCCTCGGCTGGCACACATTTCCCAGTGTGCCTTGCACCGGGTGGCCATGGCATGGTGCCCTAGCCACTGGGACACGGTGGGTGCGTGTGCATCACTCCTGGGTGACCCACTTGACCCTCTCCTTCTCTTGCTCCTCTCGACGCTCATCTTGTCTCAGTGGCTGGGTAGAGATAAGAGACCCCGAGGTCTTCAGGGATTATAGGTAAAAGGAGAGTGAATCCCGAGTGAGCGTTTGGGGAAAAGACTTCCTTCGATCCACATTGGATTGCGATGTGAACAAGAAATAAATCTTTATTTTATTAAACTACTAACATTTGTAGTTCATGCATTATAGATGTTAGCCCTTCCTGATTAATACACTCTTTTTTGGTTTCCACATAGCATGTAGGGGCAAGACAAGCCAATAAGTATGCTCCATAGTTACATACTCTGGTGCCTGCCTCCCCCAAGGTGGTGCTGAGATTTCAGGCCCTTGATCACTCCCGTAACCCAATATATGGCAGGTGCGCAGCGAATGTACAGTGTGGAAACACTCCAGCATCGAGAACCAGTGACAGAAAAGCAAGTAGAACCCGATCTCCTCCCTGGCTGAGCGAGCTTGACACTCCCTCCCGCGGGCCCCAGACCCCCACTGCAGAGGCACCCCAAACCCTTCCAAGTCTTTGAGTCTTCCTGGGGCCGAAGGATAGGCTGGCTCCTCTGAGAGAGCCATTTTCTAAAAAGACGAAGGAAGTTTACCCAGCAGCTTTTCACATCATCCTGGAAGAGTTATGCTCATGTGTCTGCGGAGGGTCATTCATCAGCCACTGAGACCAAACCGCTCCGGAGAACAACCGACTCTTGCTTTCCTCTGAAGGAAACAACATCTCTTTACAAAAGACAACATTCCCTTGAAAGTTATTTTTAGAAGGGAAGTGAAGATGAATATGTGTCATCTCCGGACGTTTCCCAATGACCCCAGCCCTTGGCTATCAGCTTGGACACCTCTTCTCAGGACCAGAGAAGTATGAAAAAGGCCTCTGGCCAATGGCCATCCAGTTAAGGTCCCCTGACCACTTGCATCACTCTTGGGTGCGTCCAAAAAAAAAAAAAAAAAAAGAGGAAAGAAAGCAAAACCGGGCCCCAGTGCAAAGCAGTTACTTTCTGCACAAGCTTCTGTGGTGACATCTACTGCACTGATGTTGTAGACCACTGACTTAGAAGCTCCAGCTCCTTCCCATGGGAGACGGGCCAAGCAAGTCAGATAAAGTTAGAGAGAAGCTCACACTATCTGCACTTATAAACATGTCCTTGAATGGAAGCCCCTGGAAGCGCAAGGCTGGTGCGTTTTAGTGTCTTTACTGGGACAGGGGTGCTGGCTGCGCCCCCAAGGGCCGGCTCCATGCGATGGTCGCCTTCACAGGCAATCACTGGCTGAAACAGTTCCCAGCAGGTGCCATCAAGACAATCTGCTTCTCTGGTGGGAGAAGGGAAGTGAGAGTAGGGAGCCTGCAGCGCTTTAGAAGTTCCTGTTTCTCTGGGACGTGGAGTCACTGGGCTTTGCAGATGATGGCATTCCCAAACCAGCCGGGTTCCCCAAGCAGATGCAGCTTCTGTTTTCATTGCAGTCACAAGATTTTGGAGGGCAGAGGGTGGGGAGTGGTATGGTGAAGGTGAGCGTGGGCTCCGGCTCCTGAGGCTGCCCCTGGGCTTGCTCATCAACACGTGGTGACAAGGGAGAGGCCAGTGGGTCCCAAGGACCCATCACTAGGAACTCCGAAGAGGAGACGGCTGTGTGTCTCCCCACGTCCACTTTCCCCATCCGTCCTGGAAGCCCTGACTGTCAGCTGCGTACATGGGCACCTAGACCAAGTCCTTGCTACACATTCCGGTCTTCCTCACGGTCATGTGTGCCCATGACACTAAGTTTTGGTAAATGGAAGAGGCAGAGAATCAACTCACAATTTTCAGGAAACTTTCATTTCAAATTGTTGGGCACTGTTGATTTCTTCTTTTTCTTCCCTTCCTCCCTCCTGCTGCCTGGAACATGGCTATCACTCTTTTAGGCAATGGGATTGGGGCCAATCCCAGGGAGGAAGCAGCATCCCTGAGGACCTGGGGGAGCAAAGCTGCCAAACAGCCTTGCACGGCTTACCTTCGGACTTGACTTACGTAGAAGAAAATAAACATGTCACATTTAAGTGCCCGTGATTTCTTTCTGAACATGTCTTTCAGCCTTTACTGTTTTATCTCCTTGTGGAGGTCAGCTTTGGAATTCACCAAAAGTGTAGTGGAGCCTCTGATGAAAGTCATGAACGCATACGTCATGGGAGCTGAATGAGAAGTTAGAAGTTCTAGGTTTAAAACCTGGCCCGATTCTGGCCCATAAGCCTCAGCTAACTATCAGCTTGTAGAACGAGAAGAGTAGTGTCTGCCCCAAGCAGCAGTTGAGAAGTTTGAAAAAATAACCCTCTGGCTGTGTGTCCCCTCAGTGGATGGCTGTGTTTCTCATTTCAAGTTCAACTTCATGACCAGATCTTTTTCATTCAGTCCAGATTGTGAGTCCTCTGCTTTCAGATCCGTATTAGGAACTTGTTCGTTACTGAGTTCTCATTTTAAAACAAAAGCAGTGCCTTTTTCAACATTCAACTCCGTTGACATGGCTCTGTGGATTCTCCCCAGTGGTCCGTCAGGCCGGCGCCCCGTCCGGCTGTGAGACAGGGTTGGTTGACAGCCTCAGTTTAAAGATGAAAACACTGCTTGCCCCCAGCATGAACAAGAGTACTGTGGCAGATCTGAGTTCTATGCTGCTGACCTATTCCCAGGGGATCTAGCTTCTCTTAGGCTCAGTTTGACTAATCTATACTGTATTATCAGATCCCGACAGCTAAATTAGAGACGTCTATAAAATGCTTGGCACAAACGAAGGACTCATTATGTATGTTAGTTTCTTTCCATTTTCTCTCATTCACAGGGCCTAGGTCTCACTGATATCGTGGGAGAAGGAGTTTTCAAATTCTGGGCTCCAGACCTATGGCCCCGGGTCCTTTTCCCTACCTGTGCTGCTTTCATCAGTGTTTGTCTTTTAGGAACCACAAGGTTTCTTCTGAAATTCAAATAAAATATTCTGAGACAGTTGTTGTCCTGAGAATTGACAGCAGCTTCTTGGTGGAGACAGTCTTGATAGTTTCCTTTTTATTTATTGTTGCTTCAACCGGTGATTTTCCAAAGACAGTCCTAGCACTACATGAGCTGGCATTATCTTGGGAAGGGCAAGGACCCGCTGGTCTCACTACAGACCTGGGAAAGCACAGGCCCTGGAGTAGGCTTGAATATACACATTTGTGACTATTGCGATTCTGATACACATTTTATTTTTTTAATTTTTTTAAAGATTTTATTTATTTGAGAGAGAGAGAATGAGAGATAGAGAGCACGAGAGGGAAGAGGGTCAGAGGGAGAAGCAGACTCCCCGCTGAGCAGGGAGCCTGATGCGGGGCTCGATCCCGGGACTCCAGGACCATGACCTGAGCCGAAGGCAGTCGCTTAACCAACTGAGCCACCCAGGCGCCCTCTGATACACATTTTAAAGACAACTCTGAATTCCTGTGTTTACCAATCGTGGACGACTTGAAATCCTGGCTTGTGCTTAGGAGACCTTGGGGAACACCTTTTCCCAGCAATTCAACCAATCAGCCTTTTACACTGTTTCTGTCCACCCATTTTGCCAACATCTTGGGAGGAGAACCAGCCTCTGCTAAATTAATACGAGTGTTGCAATGTCTAGAAATGGACCAGCAGGGGGCATTGGAGGCTCACGCATCCCATTCTTGCCTTTCCTTAGCCTACTTCTAAAATCCTTATTAATTTTTCTTCTAAAAGTGGTGAAAACCAACTTTCAAGACTGCTTTCCTTAGGAAAAAACAAAAAGCAAAAAACAAAAACAAAACAAGTGCTCCTGGACAAAATGGAACTTCTTGTCCATTTAATTAAAACAGCCAATGTATATCTTTATCAGGGTTCTCACTGTGTCCAGTACCTTAAGAGCAAAGGACAGCTTTCTAAATAGGTCTATCTTCTTTAATTTCCTTCTTTAATCAGGGAAAGGAGAGAAACTCCTGAGTTTATTTTATGGAAAAACATGGCACTGTTCTCTATAAATCAGCCTCACGGAAGATATTGGTATTAATTGATTGTCCAAGTTTAGATATGTGTCTGTCTTTTCCAGACCTAGAATATATATATATATAATATATAATATATAATATATATATATTGTTTTTAGCATACAAAATATATGCTACTGTAGAAAATATATATTGTATATATATTATATATATATTGTTTTTAGCATACAAAAATATATGCTACTGTAGAAAATTTATAAGGTACAGATAAGCAAAAAAGAAGGGAATAAAAATTACTATAAAGTCCCCATAACAAGACGACCACTAAAAATATTTGATCGTAGCCTGATCACTCACACACATACATGCACACATGATATAGCCTATGTAGGTCTGGGCACACTGTTTCCTCACCTGCTCTGTCATATAATAGCATACTATAACATATCCATGTCGATAAATATGCTTCAATGTCATCTTTTTTAATGGCTATATAGTATTCTCTTCTATGGATGCCCCACCATATTTTCAATTAAGCCCATGGTAAAGAATTGCAAACAACTTAAAAATATCTAGAAATGTTATAAATATCGTGGCGAACAGCCTGTTATGTGAATCATGTGTATCCTTAATTATATCAGTTCTGTTTTATTTTAATAGATAATTGCCATGGTTCATAAACATGCATAAGCTGGGGTGGTGTGATTTGCTGTTAATATTTTTGGCAGAATATAGATTCCAGTGCGTAAAGGCAGGCCTGGGCAGCTTTATCTCAATCAGCTCTCTTGGTGTTTTGATTTGTTTTTGTTTTTTGTCCCCCAACCCTGCTTCTGTCTCTTGAATGTTGTTAATGAAATGGAATACCCACCTGTCAGTTTTTCTCTATCTTCAGGAATGTGGAGAGCTGGTGAAGGGAGAGGGGTATGGGTCACGTGGTTTATAACTTGCCAGCCACCGCATCAGATTGGCAATTTCCTTTTCAGGCACCATCCCCTTTGGAAGTGTCTAGAATACCCCCAAGACTCTAAGCGGGTAGTGGGAAGGGATGAGAGGTAGCAAGCCAGTGGAGGGAGGTATATTTGGGATCAAAGACTCCAGTACAGTCTGGAAGTATCTACCTTGACAGAATGCAACCTTTGTTAGCAAAGGACTGGGAAGCTTACTAAAAGCATTTTCTGTAAGAAGGATTAGAGCTGGGTGCTTGTTTCTTATTTATATTCATACTTGCAATTTTGATTTTGCTTTTCTCCACTTCTCATGGCTCTTTGGGACATGTTTAGTGCTGGCTACATGCTCCAACATGCACCATTATGAACCTTGGAGTTCATTTGCAGATTGCATTACTTCCTATGATTCTATCCCTTCTTTGCACACTTCTTGTCTATTTCTCACTTTATTCTGTCTCTTTGCAGCCATCATTTATGGCCACCAGCTTTCTAGGGACGTTCTATTGGACTTTCCCTGAAATAATGATGCTCCAAGATGAATAGTACATACTTTTACTCAAACTTTAATGGGATCCAGAACTAGGCTCTAAAAAAGATGCAAGAGAAACATAAAATTAATCAGTCATCTGCCCAACACATATTTTGGGGGGAAGCCGTTATATAGAGTTCAGTTGAACGAGCACTACCGAGTGGCCACTGCGCTGACGTTTAGGCAGACTTTCACCCATTTTACAGATGAAGGAACTCGGGCCTGGAGGGATCTGTGCTCCGTCCCAGGCTTCACAGCTAAAAAGTGGGGAGCCAGGGTACCCTGCCAGCCTACCAGCTTTCAAAGCTTTTGGAAGTCGCAGACCAGGCTGCCCCCCAGGAGCAACCAGAGGGAGAGACCTTCAGTGGCTAATGCCAGTTGGAACAGGCCGATAGTTTTATCGAAGGAAAAGCAGAAAAGAATGGAAGGAAGACTAACAGTCCTATGCTGACATTTCCACTGCTCAGGCGATGGAGGACCCCTGACTCACCTGCGGTGCTGTTGATTTGAGGCCATGACCTAGGGCAGAAAAGAGAACCAAGGTCAGTGTCAATGGCATGTGGGTCTCACACCTTCCCCAGAGGACTGGGCAGCTATCACATCCATTTCCCAGATCAACCTATGGAACGATTTCCTCATGTTCATATTGTTCTGGATCTAAAACAACATCTCATTACAGAGAATCTGGAAAATAGAAAAATGCACAGAGAAGAAAACAACTCCGCCCCAGGTAATATTTTGGCAAATCTGCCATACATATGTGCATGTGTTTATGATGAGGTGTATGCGTACATTTAAACATATAGCTGCATAAAAATAGCACAGGAATGTATGGGCTGCTGATGTTAAAAATGCGCTATGTGTCTCTAGCTATTATTCAAAGACATGATATTTATTGGCTGTGATTTTTTAGAGGGGACATTTAGATTCTTGCTAGTTTTTATTATTGTGAATAATGTTGCAGGGAGCATCCATGCTTGCATTTTTCATCTAATCCCCAAATATTTCCATGGAGAGACTCCACCAAGTGCAGTGAAGGGGTCAGGCAATGGGGGTCTTCCAAAGCCCTCACTATAGATCACTCAGGTGCCTTCCAGGTGGGCTGGGTCAATTTAGGTGCTAATCCACAGAGAGGAAAGTGACCATCTCGCTGGATTTCACCACCCTTAAATCCATCCTTTAAAATGATTCTACTTGGCACCTGATTCCTTATTTTACCTGTTTTACTTCCCTGATGCCTAGTGAGCCTGAATTATTATTATTATTTTCCAAGTGGTTTTAGGCTACTTGGATTTTTTCTGCTGTGAGTTGTCTGTACGTGTGTTTGTCCATTTTCTAGTAGGGTCTTTGCCTGGCCAGCACATTCACATTGGACAGGGTGCTTTTGGAAACACCTTTTGATTAGATTTTGGGCAAAGACTGGAAAAGCTCTGGGGTGGTGGAAGGCTCTGGAGGATGCTGCTTCTGTGAGCCAACTTGTTTGTGCCTTTAATAATCCTGGGCCTCACACAGCATCTATCCTCCGAGGCTCTCAAAGTACGTCATAGGAGCAATTAATTGAGCATCGCAACACACGCCGAGTGTAAATATTTATGAGGCCTGGTTGGTGGCTGGGACATCAGGCCCCCAACAGTTAAGCTGGGAGATGTGAGTAACCAGGAGGCCATGGCCCTTGAGTCTGGCTTCCTGCTCACCCTTTGTTCTCTTCCATTTTAATACCCAGATTGGCCCTGTGGGGTGGCTAACACTGTCCCAAGTTTACAGATGAGGAGACGGGAGGTTCAGAAAGCTCTTCAGCTTGCCCAGTCCCACAGAGAGCGAGGGACCTGACACCAGCCTGTCGGATCCCCAAATCCTCGCCACCTCCGCGGCCTTGCCCGTGGGCGGTGGTGAGTCGGGAAGCAGTGTGCAGCTGTGGACTCAGAGCCCTTGTGGTTCGCTCTTGGCGTCCTTTCAAGCTGCCCGAGATTCTGCAGAAATTAACAGTAAATCAGCCAGGAAGGAGCAGATCATTTATCTGGGGCCCTAGAGCTCTCTCTTGACACTTTGAACACAGGGCCTCTTCCCTGACATCTTCGTCTTTGATTAAGGCCTCCAAAGCCTCCCCAGACCTGTCACTCGTGACGCGTGAAATGTAAATATGTTTTCTCGATTGTGAATGGCGAGCCTGATGGGAGTGTGGCAAGCCAGGCCCTTGCCTGGAGGCAGCGAAGTGTGTAAGCCTGAGCCCAGGGGTGGGGAAGAAGATGCTCACTCTCCCCGGGGAGCCTAGCAAGAACTTTGGCTTTGAAGCTAGGATTCTGTCCTTCTTCTGACCTTGGCTTCACCTGGCTTTTAGAATCAAAAACCGTTAATGCTAAAAAGCTCATCGGAGGCAATGTTGTCCAATTTGTTGTTCCAAGTTTCGGACCCTCAAAGGCAGACGTGGGGTTGTCTGACGCCTATGAAGAGTGGAGCCTGTCCCGCACTGAGCGAGGCTCCACTCTGGTGGGCAGGCTTTCCCCGCTTTGCGGGTGCAGCTCAGTTCGGAAGAGGTAAGTGACTTGCCTGAAGTGGCCCAGCAAGCAATCAGTAGAGCTGGGAAGTGTCCCACTACTCTTACTATTTCCAAGCCGACAGCAGCGACGTAGACCGCCGAGCTCTCTTGCCTTGGAGCTTCCTCCCGATTGTCGAGGCTGTGGAAAGTGGCTTCTCGGATCCACGCTGCCTCTCGGTGGGGTCCCAAAGCAATGGCGCTCATTCATATGTCATATCCTCTGGGATTCTGCACCCCAGGGCTCTCTGTGTGTCAGTGCAAGCCCAATGAATTAGCAGAGGAAGCCTCAGCAGAGCAGGAAGCAGCACTGTTACTCCAGCTGAGCCCGGAAAGGGGGGAGGGAGGGGAAGAAGGCTGGAACCTGCCTCTGAGGGCCTGGGAAGGAGGGGGCCCCGGAGGGGACCTGGACTCCACAGTTATGTCTGGTTGCTGTGCAGACCAGCAGCTGAAAAGGTACCTGAAAAGGCTCTTGTGTTAATGCTCTTTGCAGTCTGACAGCCAGGGTGATTAGCAAAAGAGGAGGCTGCTAGCAAACTTCATGGAGATCTGATGTGTTCTTTATGCTCAAGCAAGCCCCATGTGTTCGTTAGCAAGCTGCCTCTTACCAGGGAACTACAAGGATGCTCCTTGGCTCCTTTGCATCAATGGCATCCATAACACGGCCACATGCGAACGGGCCTCGGCTGGATGGTAGGCTGGCTTGGCAGCCACCTCTCTACTGTTCCCACCCCCTGCTCCTTCCACCTCTGGGCCTGAGGGCAGCAGGCCTTCCTCTGCATCTCTGGCTTGTGCAGGCAGGTGTCCACGTCGTGGTGGGGGGAGTTCACGGAATATGAAATGAGCAAGACTGACCTCCAGCGGTTTGTGGTTTTCAATATTTAAGCCTTATTACAAATAAAGATTTTTAATTTCCGAATTATTTTTAATTTTTAATACTTCTTAATAGTTTAATACACTTAATAATTTTTAATCCTGAATGGGCACTAAATTAAAGCTATCCCTCCCTTCCCCCACCCCCTTGCTGCCTGGGAGAACTGGATCTGATTGTGTAGGCAGGGTGCACTTGCGTCTTACTTATCCATGGGAACAAAGTTTGGATGGTGTGTTTTTCCTGTCCCATAGAGACAACATTGGGTCTTGTCTCCAGGCTCAAGCTCCTGGCGTGGAGATAATTCTTCATCGCCCCCTGGAGTGTGACGTGTGTGGTCCCCTCTGGGTCTCCCCAGGCACCCTCCTGCTGGAGCAGAATGCACAGCAAGCCCCTTGGGAGACGGTCAGGGTGATTTCACCTGCCAGCCCACTCCCTGTCCCAAACCTCCAAGATTAACTGGCTCGGCTCCACGTCTCACCTTAAGAAACTGCCTGCTTCTGACATTAAGAGCTAAAATTCTAATTTTTGTCAGACAATTGATAACAGTTGCTAAATCTAGAGAGAAATGAAGGTGACTCCGAAGTTCTAAATTCATTGCCTTCTTCCCTCTATTTGGATGCCTGCTCTATACTGGTTAAGTGTGAGCCTTTTATAAATCATTTCAGCAAATCTCCTGGCAACTCTTGGTGGACAGGAATCTTTATCTCAATGTTAGGGTTAATTACCAGAACTGGTCCTTTCATTTTGTGGATGGGTGGACTAGGCCCAGCTTACCCCATGAGGGGAGTTGGGGGTGCCACGGTTCCCATGCAGCCAGTCTGCAGGTGGGGTGCACCCTCCTTCCCCTCCAGCACTGGAGGGAGGTGCAGGTTTGTATCAGGGAGCTGTGGGAGCTGAGGTCTGGAAAGGCACGGTGTGCTCATGCTCAGAGAGTGGGGAACCAGCAGGGGTGAGCTAGAAGGCCGGCATGGTCCTGGAGACAGGTGGAACTGGGTGAGGCACTACGTAAAGCCTGCTCAGAGCTGCATCTCAGAAAGGCCATGCCGGTGTGCATAGGATCTCCTGGAGAGGGAAGGACGTAGCTTCCTGTGTGGCCACCATAGCCCTCATCTGCTCATGTGGCACTTATCCAACGGAACTCACACTCCCATAAGCAGAACAGTACAACTCGATTTCTCAAACTCCCTCCACCAGGCCCCCAGCCCCTAAAAGGGAGACCAGGCACCAAATACAGAACATGCCTAGAACATGGCCTGGACTCACAATTGTGTGGCCAAGTAAGCATGAGTGAGTGCACGGACGAGGGAATGAATGCAGGGCACAGGTGCACAGGGAAACGGAGATAAGAGGGGTGTCCCCAGAGTAGAGCAGCTTAGAGACCCATGGCCAACCAAGTCTGGGTCTCTACGTGGACCCGCCTGCCCCAGCAAGGCCTGGCAGAGTGTCAGCTACATGGGAGGAACGTGCTTCACACACGTGCATGTGTCCCACATAGACCCCTCTAGAATAGGCTCTCGTTTTCATTACAGATCCCAGACTGGAGAACATCTCCCAACACCCACATTACTTTGAAGTAGAAGAAACTCACACCAGGGTGGAATGAAGTCAATGCTCATAATTAATTAGTGAAAGAATGGGCTCATTCTTTGTTAAAGGAATCCTTGATTAGTTTCAGGAATCCTCCTCTTTTCTGTTTTAGTTTTATAAAACAAAACACATTTGTGGGGCATGCGGCAACCCGAAGGGATCCTAGGGAAAACTCTGGAAGCGTGTACACTCGCACTTCCCAGGACCCTCTGGGCTGGGGGATCCCTGCCCCTGTCTACCCCCTCAGGGTCCCCCTGGGGCCTGTGGGCTTCCCCACCTCTGAGCACTGCAGTACTGCTTGCTCTCCTAACACACTAGGAGAGTCAAAAGGCAGTGTGGAGTTACGAATTTCTTACTCAAATCTCATTGTTAAACCTTGTGTTTTTTTCTTTCCTCAACTAGATTTTAAGTTCTCGGAGGACAGAACGCATGTCTTGTGACTCTGATCCCTTTCATATGGGCTCTCCATGTCCCTGACAAATACTGAAGGAGGAAAACCACCGTATCTGGCATTGGGATGGTTATACCGCAGAGGAGCAGGGTGGTGGCCCTTGTCATCAAGATGCTCAGTCTATGGTGGGGGGGAAGTGAAGACTGGTATTGCAGATCACAAGACACTGTGCCACTGTGCTAGTTTGAATCTAGCGCCCCTCCAGCCAGTGGACGGCTCCCAAGCCCATGGCCTCCACCCTCTCCCCGCCCTCCCTGACTTGTTCTGTCTTCTCTCTGCGTCTCTCCATCCTTTCCTTCTGCTAAAAGTTCCTTCAACCACCTATTTAAGTATCTAGTATGTGCCAGGCACAGGGCATCGTTCAAGCCCACGGCATCCTGGTAGGTCCTTCCAGCCCTTCTTCCTCCCAACCCTTCAGTAATGTTTCCTGAGCAACTGCCATGGGGAGCTCCTTGTGGGCGAGCCCAGGAAAGGGATGGGGCACCACACTGTAGTCCACATACCCTCTGTGAAAGCACTTGTTGCCCTCTGTGACGCTCTCAGCCGGCCACACCTTTCAGAAAGATACTCCCGTTTCTGCCCATTGAGGAGGGCCAGAGGGAGCAGTATTCTTATGCATCTGTCAGTGCCATGGTTGCTCAGGGCCCCTGGAGGCGGGTAGGGTGAAACCAGAGAGGTCAAGAGCAACAAGCAGCAGCTTCCCCCCCCCTCCCCCCCCCCCCCACCAGGTCTGTCTCCTGGGTGAGGGCTGCCTGCTGGGAGGGTCCAGCAGGGGGCCTCCTAGCACAGGAACAGGGCTCCTGCATCTGAAGGGTAAGGACTGGCTCTCCTGGGCCCTGAGGAATTAAACCCACCTGTACCTTGCCCCCACCTCCACCCCCCCTCCCAGGGAATTAACTATTTTGCAGGTGTTAGTGGCAAAAGGGAACAAATGGACAGTCAGTGAGGTGCAGTTTGGGAACGTTGGAGTGTGGGACGTGAGTGACAGTGTTAACTGTAGTGCTGTCGTCAGGAATGGGAAAAGAGACTCCACTCCGAGTGTGAAGGCATGGCTGGGAACCTCGTGGGCAAGCCCTTAGCCTCCCTGACCCTTAGTGCCCCCCTGGGGGCCTGTCTGTTCCTATCACTGCACGTGGCACAGTGTCTTGTGATCTGCAATACCAGTCTTCACTTTCCCCCCACCCTAGACCGAGCATCTTGATGGCAAGGGCTGTGTCTTCATCTCTGAATTTCCCTGTCCCCAACGCACTGGCCTCTCTCCCCTTCCTCCTACCCTCTGGGCCCCCGTCTTGCGGCTTCTTCATTCCTTCCCGTTTCCTGGAGGTAGTGGTTGAGGGCAGAGTAAGTGCTGGGCCCAGAGGCCCTCCTACTCCAACTCCGAAGCTTGCACTCGCAGTAACCATGCTAAAGTGGAGGTTCTCAAACTTGAATGGGCACCGGAATCACCCGGAGGGCTTGTCTAAACACCGGTGCCTGGGGTCCACACCCGAGTTTCTGATTCCAGAGGTCAGGGCCCGAGAATCTGCATTTCTAAGAAGTTCCCAGGTCGTGCTGACGGATGCTGGTCCAGGGACCACGCTCCAGGACGTGTTGCTGTGAGGCTCTGTTATGAATGTGGATGTTCTCAGGAGTGCACTGCGCATGCCCCTTCTTCATTGCAGTCTTGACAGGAGCAGACTGGAGACTCACAGGAACAGAAAACGAAATCCACACGACCATGCCGACACCGCAGAAAGTTGTGGTCACTTAGAAGACAGGATTGGCACTCGACTTGAGGTTAGACTCTGAATCCAAATCCAGCTGTCACCAGGGACGAGCTCTGTGACTGACCACAAATGGAACCTCTCTCAGACTCTTGTCTAGTCCATAAAATGGGAATTAGAATAACTACTTCAGAGCAGTATTGTGAGGATAAAATGCCAAAATTCCTTTCGTGGTGGCTGCTGCACGTCAGGCACTCAACTACTGATTTGAGTTTGGGCTCGACTGGACAACATCTATCAGTATGTTTCCGTTTTCTGCACATGTGGGGTTGCGGCACGGGATAGGAGTGGATATTGGGGATTCAGCGCGATGAATTCCATGGGGAGTTCTAGGATGCATTCGTATCAGTAGTGTGGACGTGTCGTGGATGTGGTTCTGTGTTTTTCTTGGATCACCTCCTGGACCGCATCAGCTGGGTGGGTCCCCAGCGCTCAGCATCTGTGTGAGCGTCTTGTGTGGCCCGGAGGCGCATGCGTGTTCGAGTGTGTGTGTGAGGGGCGGGGGTGGACGGGGACAGCCCTCTGCACCTGTCGGGGGAGCTGACCCCTCACCTAACTAAGGGTTGGCAGTATTGAGGGGAGCCGCAGGGAGTGCCAGGGCTGTTTTAGATGCCAGTAACAATATGGAAAATTCTAAGGTTTACCATACCACACCCAGCTCATCAGCCTTGGGGAAGTTACTGATCCTGGGCATGCCTTCTTCTCTCCTATAAAAGGGAGACTGATAAGACCAGAACTGTGGGGATCCAGGGAGACAGCACCTATTAAGCTCTTAAAACGGCGCCCAGCGCATGGTCACATGATGGTCACATGACCACTCAGTGATCATTGGCCCCTGTTTTTTATTGAGAACCTGCCATGTTCCAGGCGTGCTACAGGGGTCACCCGTTTCGTTCCCACATATGTGCACTGCTTTACATACAGGGGTCAGTGGGGGACAAGGCAGCCTGCTCATTTGCTTTCAAATACCATTTCTAAAGCATACGAGGAGCTGAGACGGGAAATGGGCTTGTCAGAGTGAGGTCGCTCCGTGAGTGAGCGCGTCGGGTGACACTGAGACCTGGCGCCCCAGGCCGGTTCTCTGCGCAGCCCCGCCTGCTCGCAGCATCCTTCTCTCCTCGCCGCCAAATGCTGATAATTGTAATTTGTACGGAGAATGAATTCATGGGTTTAATAGTTCTCGAAGTAAGACAGTAGACCCAAATATGTAGTTTTCAGACATTTTGATTTGATTTATATATCTCAAATACTAATTTATACTCATCTAATACTTTCATTATAAAATACGCAGTGGTACAGAGATTTGTATGCATATGGGTTTTTTTTTTTTAATTTGGGTTTATAAATGGTTTGGAACAGGTTGCAGAAACATCGTCTGTTGCTCTTTTTAATATATCTTGAGCATGCTATGACACATCCTGAAATAATTTGCTGCGGAAAAGCACTGTTCTTTCGCTCTCTCTTTCTCAAATGTAGCTGTAAATATTACTTTGATGTATGTGATTGCTGCAACCATCTTCATTTGAAGGAAGTCTTCTAACCCTTCCAGCTCCCATCTCTTGCTATTGTCAAGAAATAAGAAAAACTGACTTAAAATGCATTATTCAAATGTATTTAATGTAAACATTGAACAAGTCTGAGAACAGCCACAATTTTTCCTTTGCTTAATGTGGTTTTGACAATATTTCGAATATTCTGTTTTACAGGCATTCATTTACTCTTCTTAGGAAAAATAGTTTTTCAAGTAAATCGTAGGATGCTAAGAAAGTCCCAGGGCCTGGAACAGAGTAGGAACTGAATGGGTGTTTGGTGGTTGACCTGAGTTGAAGTGTGCTAGGATGCAAGGCGTGGTATAACATGCTGAGACCCTCGTGGCCCTCTGGGCAGAGAGACTGCTCGGGCAGGGCTCAGTGAGGGAGCTCTGGCGGGGTACAAGGAGACCTTGCAACCCCCTCTGGGCATCAGGGTGTTGCCCAGGGTCTGGCTGCTGGACAATGACAGAGCTGGATTGGGCTTTAGGATTGGGATCTTGTCATTTACCAAGTTAGTCCGCATTCTGAGCTTTCAGGCTCTGAGCCCCTTGGAGGTAGGACTTTGTCTTTTTTCTCTGCATATTCCCTAGCCTGTGCAAGCCCTAATGTCATGACTGCTTAGTAAATGTTTGCTCAGCTGAAGGACAAAGAGAAGAAACCGCATAGGTACATGGCTTCCTCTATTCTCCTCACTTATGAGAGCTGGCGGTGGGCTCGTGGCCTGATGCATCTGTGATCCATCATTTAAATCGTTCACCAGCTGAGAATGGAAGTTTCCATCTTTGTGGCTGTCTCCTGGGCTGTTTGGACCCCTGGTGGGTGGTGGAAATAGCCCTCGTCAGAAATGCTGTGGGTGCCCTGGGGCTTCCCAGCCTTTCCTTGCATTGCACGCGGGCTGGTACTTCAACCCACATGAGGTTCTTGTCCTTCTGAACCTTGGTCTCCATGTGACCTCTAAGAGCCCTGGCAGCAATAAAATTCTATCACATTAACCTGGTGTGTGTGTGTGTGTTGGTCGGCTGATTTGCCACAGACTCCTCTATGGATGTTCGCTCCTCTATGAATAAACAAATAAATATTCTGACCTATTTTTTGGCAGACAGAGGTTCTGGTTCAGATCACTGGGTCCTTCTTTTGTTGCCCTTCTGTTGTCCCTGGGATGAAAGAAAATAGATTGCAGTCAGGAAATAGCAAGAAGCTAGGGGAAAAAAAATAATTAAGTGCATTCATTCACAGAAACAACCACCCGGTCAGATTTAAGTAATGAACATCTCACAAATAATTCCAAATCTCTCTTTGCATTTCCACTGGGGTTAAAAAAATGGCCGTGTTTCAAGTAATTTAATTACTTTAAAATATATGTATATATTTTAATGTAAGAGCTTTCTTTTACAAGGGGCGGTGGTGTGGGGTGAAGAAGCACCCCAGTCAGGGTGGAAAGTTGGCCTGCTGTCCCACATCAGCAGGCTCACTGCGGCACCCTCCCTGTCTCTGTGACATTGTTCTGTAAAATGAAGAGCATCATACCTTCAACACATGGTTGAGGGGAGGCTGTCAAAGAAGGACAGTGCCTGTGGACCAAGGAATGTTCTAGATGCTTCCTGTGTTAGTCGAATTTGACTCCAAGCTAGCAGACATCATCCAGGGTAGGAAGGCAGATTACTTAGCAATAGCAATTCAGATTCAAATTATATTTATTGGAATTCTATATAATTTAGATACTTTGCTATGGCATTTACTGTGAAAAGATTAAATTATTTTAAATTGAGTTAATTTGCTCACACTATCATAAACCATCACTATTATGCATCCCTCATTCATTTAATTAGCCACATTTAATATACTTCCATTTCTTTTGCGGGTATTTCGTGAGCTTTAGCAGAGATTTATTGATAACAGTTTCGTCAGCAAATGCTCCTCGACAGCTACCTCGTTAGCTCGGCTGACCTCCTTGTCCTGGTTCCCACCACGTGGGGCAAACTTGCTTCTTCTTGGTCCTTGTACTTTTGCTACTCCCACCCCCAGGCCTCTTTCAGGTACTGTTTATTGTCTCCCTTCTCTCTCTTCTGCTTCTGAGCTCAGCACAGGTGCCAGGTCCTCAGAAGAACCTTCCCGCCCTCTAAGACTGGCTCCTTCACAGTGTGTGTCTGAGTTGTAATTTTACTTTTGTCTTAACTCGTAGCTTGTGATCATGTCTGCCAAGCTAGCTCAATGACCATGCCCTCGAGGGCAGAGATGTGCCGGCTGTGCATCCGTAGGGTCGGGGAGAGCGCCTGGTCTGCAGTGGGCCCTCAGTGGGAATGCCTGTGCACGCAGGAGTCAAGGACCCCGGGAAATGCCTATCAGTGACCAGAGATTGTCCATCTAGGATTTTGTGTGCAGCCTATAGGCTGTGATGTAATAAATAAAAAATTTAGTGAGGGGCACCTCAGTGGCTTAGTTGTTTAAGCGTCCAGGCTCAGATCATGATCTCAGAGTTGTGGGATGGAGCCCTGCATCAGGCTCCATGCTGGGTGTAGAGCCTGCTTAAGATTCTCTCTCCCCCTCTACTTACCTCTTCCTCTTCATTTGCCCCCCTCCTGCTCTCTCTCTCTCTCTCTTTCTCAAGTAAATAAATATTTTTTAAAAATTAGTGTGGTAAAAAAAAAAAATTAGTGTGGTGTGCCTGGTGGCCCAGTCGGTTAAGCATCCAACTCTTCATTTCGGCTCAGGTTATGATCTGGGATCCAGACCCACATTGGGTTTCGTGCTCAGCGGGGAGTCTATTTTAAGGATCTCTCTCCCCCTCCCTCTGCTCCTTCCCCTGCTCACGCTCTCTCTCTCTCTCTCTCTCAAATAAATAAATAAATCTTTAAAAATAAAAAAAATTTAAAATAAAATTAAAATATTTAGTGAGTCATTTGGATATTGTTCGTCACTGTGTAAATTGACACAAAGATGATGGTGTTATTTTGTTATTTTTCATTTGATTTTTTCATCATTTCATGACTTCAAAAATTAATTATTGTATTATTTCATATATTTCATTATTTGCTGTTTATCTGGGTAAAGCTTGATTCACGCCTACATCGGCACCCCGACTTCTAAGTTCTCAACGTGGACATCTCTTTCCTGGACCTTTTTGCTTGGTTATTCTCTAGCAGACACAGGCCCTTTCCCCGTGAGTGGCTCCGTTGCTCATATAGTTTCCAAACCAGCAGCCTGGGCACTAACCTTGAGTCTCCTCTTTCCCGCCCCCATCACCAACAACTCCATGCTCTGTTGCCAAATCCCCGGATGTCTCCTCTCCTGCCCCTTCTTCCTTGCTCAATTCTGTCCTTGCTCAGTCTTCGTTCTGCTCTATCTGAGGTCTAACTCCCAGCATCAACCCCTTACCTGCTTTCCTGGCCCCCTGGGCTCCAATCCACCCACCAAAATGCCACAGGAGTGACCTTTATTTCTTTTTTTTTGGACCTTTTCTATTGTGTGTTTTATTTTATTTAAAAATTTTTTTTAACTAACATATAATGTATTATTTGTTTCAGGGGTACAGGTCTGTGATTCATCAGTCTTACACAATTCACAGCACTAACCATAGTACGTAACCTCCCCAATGTCCATCACCCAGCCACCCCATCCCTCTGACCCGCTGCCCCCCCCAGCAACCCTCACTTTTTTTCCTGAGTCTCTTACGGTTTGTCTCCCTCTTTGGTTTCATCTTGTTTCATTTTTCCCTCCCTTCCCCTATGATCCTCTGTCTTGTTTCTCAAGATCCTCATATCAGTGAGATCGTATGACACTTGTCTTTCTCTGATTGACTTATTTCACTTAGCATAATACCCTCTAGTTTCATCCATGCCGTTGCAAATGGCAAGATTTCATTTTTTGATTGGCTGCATAATATTCCATTGTATATATATATATACCACATCTTCTTTATCCATTCATCTGCTGATGGACATCTAGGCTCCTTCCACGGTTTGGCTATTGTGGACATTGCTGCTATAAACATTGGGGTGCATGTGCCCCTCCGGATCACTACATTTGTATCTTTGGGGTAACTTCTAATTAGCAGGATATTATCAAGTCACCTCCCTGCTTGAAAATCCACACCACTTGCCCCTTCTGGGGGACAAAATCCATACTCATTCCCATGATAGCCGAGATGCCTGCCTCAGCGGTCTTGAACACAATTTCTGTTGTCTGTGTCTCTGTTCCCTCCTATCCTGTGCCCCCACCAGGGCCCCACACTGTCCTCAATCTGGGCCCTACCTTTGCATGCTCCCACATCACTGATTAGATTTTTCTTTGGCCTCCTCTCCATCTGCCAAAAACCTTTCCATTCTTCCAGGTCTAGTTCCAATGCTAGTTTCCCTTGAGTTCTGTCCTGTTTCCTCTTTAGGACTTTTGGTATATCTCTGTTTTACTGTTCGTTCGTTTGTTCATGGATCTGTTCATTCATTAACTCAATGAACATATATCAGATCTACACTGTACCAGGCTGGATGCCACGCAGTGGGATGCAGTTGTTAAAGAAGATGGATGGAGTCTGCCTCATGAATCTTACTGCTGTTGGGGAGATAGGCCATAAACAAGTAAACAATCTTTTTTTTTTTTTTTTTTAAACCATAGTGTCTTGTATGTGCCTGTTCATGTGTTCATGTCCCCCTGGACTAGCGGCTTGACAATATAGCCGTATCCTGGGAATTGTTTCTCTCCCAGCACACTGGCTACCTGACCTCAGGAATGTTTGTAAGATACAAATAGATGTATCAATAAAGAATTGACAAATGACCTGCCCGTTTGGGCTCATCCACAGAAGCAAGCCGTGCCCTTCATGTGCCGAATCCTGTGGGTCTCTCTGCTACCAGGGAAATTCTGACCTGTCCCTGCACAGAGAAGGAGGCCCTCGGTATCATGTCAGAGCATTTGTGTTCTCTGACAGCCCACGTAACATTTGCCTAAATGGCTTTAACTAGTCCCATTGTAGGAGAATGGGAGAGATTCTGAGAATTTCCTCAACCTCTTTCTAAATACCTTAAGAACCCAACATCCGGAAGCTACCTTTACTTTTCCAGATAATCTGCTTTTGACTTTTTAACTTGAAGAAGAGAGTTGAATTCAAAGTCTTTTTCTATTTGATGTTGACAGTAACCCTCAGCAGTAGATGGGCAAGTCTCCTTCTCAGCTCCAAGATACAGATGAGGACACAGGGGCCCTGTGAGCAGTGGGGTTGGGCTGGAGTGACCAGGCTTGTTGCAGGCCAGGGCTCTGACTTCCAGCCAGGTGCATGTCAGATGTGCGTTAGGGGAACCAGGAGCCAGTGATTTTCAGAAGCTCAGGGCCAGGCCCTCTGAAAACCACTGCGGAACAGAGAGAAGATGGGTCTGGGAGGAGTTCCTCCTCCCACAACAGATTATGTAAGGAAAATATTAACGAAGCTGACAAATAGCCATTTACCTGGATAGTAAGTAGTTAAAGTTTATGTGCTTTGGAAATGCATGGAAAAAGCAGAGATTAGAAATCAAAGTGGTTCCTTCCCTATTTCCAGCTCCCTCCCAGTTATTTGGCTTTGAATTTTGTTCGCTAATCTCAAGGAAAACTGAAATGTCCAGCTCCACGGTTTTACCCCCTACCAGATTTCTCTATTTTAAATCATTCTTTAGGGTTCCAGTTTTTAGAGACACATTGTTTTAAATATCCGATGTTGAAAGAATCATAAAGTTTCAGTCACAGAAAATGTTGATTAAGAATGTTAATCATCATGGGTCAAGATTATTTGCTTTGCATTAAATCGAGATCTGACCTTGGAAGGTTCAGTGTTCCCAAGTTGGCCATTGCCTCTGTGAACCTGGGAATGACAGTTCCGTTTACTACAGCAGGGTAAGTAGATACTCACCATTTTATAAGGCCTCAAACATTTGGGACCAGCTGCCTTTCCTGTGGGCCACTCAGCCTGTCCCACCCACATTGTAAAATGAATCACATCAGCAGTTTTAAACTGCTGCCTTATTACTTGTCATTGATCCTACTCAAGTGCCCACCAGGGAAGCAATACAAGTTTATTTATTGCTCAGAGAACTCAGCACATCCTTGGAAAAGTAAGAGATGCCACTGGCTTGTGGGGAAACTGAGGCACAGAGAGCCAGCGGGGGTGAGCCAATTAATTGTTCTT